AAGATTTTCTTGATATTCTAAAATTCCATTAGTTAACTTTTTGAATAATTGGGGTTTTCTAAATATTCAAGTAATATGGAAAGGCCAGAATAAAATCTCAACATGATAGAATACAACGAGTAGTAGTAAAATTAACTATATCTAAATATTGCAAGACCTACTATAATTTAATAAGAGATATAAAAAGTTACAGAAAGTGATCACATTATGTTAATAATTATCTTATAGGATAAAAATCTCTTTATCAGAAGCCTGGCTATTAAATTGAATAAACAAAATAGAAAAAGAATCGATATAAAAGAATTCTCACTAGAACAATGACAAGCTTATTATAAGAACCTGAATTACAAGATAAAAACAAAACTATATTCTCTTCTTGTGAAAGATCAGAAGAAGATGAAAAAAAAACATATAAACAAGATTTGAAAAGTCATTAAAGATCAAATATGCAAGACAGCCTTTAATAAACTCAACACAATAAAGGTTATATTATATAAAAAAAAATAAATAATAGATATAATCCTGAATTCATCAAATATAGAAAGCTTTGTAACTAAAGAGACTTTTCAAAAAGATAGAAATCTTAATAAAAATAGAAAAGTTATAAAATCTCAGCAAGCAATATAGAAATATAATACCATCTATAAGTCAAACTATTAGATTAAAAACTATTGTATACAACATAACATTTTCAATATGTCCTGAACATTATTAAAAAAATATATATTCAGAATGCAATAGAAGGTCTAAAGTTTATTAGTCAAAGACTTAAAACAAAAAAAAAAGAGAAACCATTAAAGTTCCTTTAGATAGTATTAGATAAGATCAAAATTAAGCAAGGTGATAATGAATATATAACAATAGAGAAACATAAAATTAAAAAAGAAATAAGATAATATTATCTGGAGACCTTTAAGAAAAGAAAAATCAATTTTAATAACCTAACAAAAGATTGAAAAGAGAAATACAATCCTAGAAGCTATATTCAAAACAGCTGATATAAAGATCTTCTCAAATTAGTCTTTCAAGAAAAACAAAATGAAACACTCAAGATGCTTCTTAATAATAAGGCCCCAGAAAAATCTCAAATTAGCTATAAGATACTAAAAGAATTAAGCCAAATAGGAAAAGAATATATATAAAAATACTTAATAGCTTCTTGAAATGGAAAATCACATCTATATCCTGAAAGCAATATTATATATATTTAATAGTTAAGCTGAAGTCATGGAAATATAAACTATTGAATATAAGACCTGTTATATTATTGGAAATCACAAGAAAATGTTTTACCAAAGTTTTAATCAATAGAATGAAGAATATTTATAAGATCAATAATATTTTCAAAAAACTTAATTACTGTACATGGGACTATTAGAAGAAAGTATTGCAAAATCAATTCAAATTCTCAATAAAATCTGTGAAAATACATAAAAAAACAAAAAAGAGCTATGAATACTTTTTTAAGATATAGTCAAAGCTTATGATACTATTAGTCTGGAAATGTTAATAAAGGTTATGAAAAGAATCAAGATACTTAAAGATTTTATCAAGATTATAATAAGTCTTTTCAAAAATAGAAAATTCAAAGTTATATTTGAAAATGATCTTATAGAATCCATAAAAGTAGGTAATAAAATTGATCAAAAAGAAACTATCTTGCCATTAATGTGAAGAATCTTTTATAACTCTTTATTGTGTAAAATTCAAAATGATATTGATAGAGAATATAAAATATTAATTACCTGAAATTCAAACTTTAAAGAACAAATTATTAAAAAGCTTAATATCAAAAATAAAATTCAAAATGCAATATAGTATATTGTCATGAAAAATATGCAATACACTAATAATAGCATATAGAAAACTTTTCAAAAATAAAAGTTTATTATGCAGATCCATGTCTAATAGTGTAATATATCATCCAAAAATACATAATTTGAAGAGTATCTAGATGTTATAAAGAGGAAGTCAAGTAATAGAATTGTACAAAATATTGAATAATCTTGAATAAATAAAAATCACAATGATTATAAGATTCAAATAGATACAAATTAAACATTGAGAACTTCTTAACCTATTGACTTGTAACTTATTAAATCATCTCTTAAATAAAGACTATTTTTTACTTTAAGTAATAAAGTTGACTAAAGACATAGGAATAACTTTTCAAAACTAAAAATAGTATAATATCTTTGAATAGGAAAAAGTAAATAGCTTGATCAAAGAATATATTATATCTGATAATTACAATAAAACTATTTTATTATTAAGAAACAATATGTTGATATATATAGATCAACTTATTAACTATAAGACAAATGAAATTAGAAATTAATATATACTTCAACTTATCCAAAAAACAGGTAAAGACAAGGTTCTATTTTGAAATAGTTCCTAACTATAAATAAGATACTTTTCAAAAATCTTTTGAATCAGCTCATAGAATTTTAAAAAATAAATTGAACTAAGTAAAAATCAATATATCCTATAGTTAGCTCTAATTGAGATAGAAGACAAAAAATATATTATATATAATTAAAAAAAAAATGATAACTATCAATTAAAAAAAAACTATTATAAGAAAAAATAAAAAATAAAGCAAAGATTGAATGTTATAGCTATCAGAATAATGAAAATAGTCAGAAGACAAAGTTAATAAAATTTAGAAAGCCATATTTAAAAAAACAGTTGCATTATAGAGGAAGATATAAAGAAAATATATACAGTACCATATTTCAACACAAGAAAGGATATTAGAAAAATCCAGACATTAACAATTCTAAATCCCAAGATACCTCTGAAAAAAGCAATCAAGAAAGCAATATATGATAACCAAGTTCCATTAAAAGATTCTTCTTTATAATTTCTTCTTCAATATTTCAGAATGGATTATATAGATATAGAAATTTAAAAGAAAATAATTATTAAAAAGAATGTTAAAAAAGAAGTATATCAAGATTAGTCAATAGAAATACTCTAACATAATTTAAGATCCAGTTAAAAGTTAAATTTTTATTCAAATGATTTACTTATTGATCATAGAAGTGATAACATTAAAATAGAAGTAGCATAGATTCAATAAACAATATAAAAATAGAAAATAGATTTCAAACAGAAATAGATAATTGATTTTTATCTATATACTATAAATAAAACTAATAGAAATAATCACAACACTTCTAGTAGTCCCAATAGTATTATAATTGAAATCTTTATAGATAATTAAGCTTGTATTTCAAAATAAAAAATAATTAAGAAAGATGATTAAAAAAGAACATACTGTATACAATAAGAGATGGCTGAAGAATAAAAACTGATTATTATAGACTTATATAATAAAATTAATCAAAAGAAAAAGTTTAAATCTAAAACTTACCAAGATCAAAGTATACTTCAATAATTTCTATAATAATAAAGTAGATACTTTAATCAAAGATGCTCTCAAATTTTCTGTGATAGAATAAAAAAATTTTATCTTATACAAAATCTCTATTGAAATCAAGTGATAAAATAAAACATTAGATGATCCTATAATACAAGACAGTTTATTAAGGAAGTAAACAATACGACTATATCATATCAATGGATAGTACAAAATAGAATTGAAAAGAAATAGAGCCATTAAATTAAAGAATAACAAGACTATACATGGAATTTAATATGAAAAAGAATGAATAGGTATACATAAAATATATTTTTCAAAGATTTACAAAAAAAAAGTTTTCTTATTAAGTTGATAAATGATATGCTATTAACATTAAACAAGTTGACAATCAAAAGATTAGATTTATATAAGCAAGTAAAATGTATTGCATATGATTTCTGTGAAGAAAAAATAATCAATTACTTGTTAAAATGTTCAATTTATAAGAAATAGATAAAAGAAATATGGAACAAAGGCTTTGAAGAAGTTCTTTAAAACTTTAGAGAACTTTTATGAGAAAGAAAAAAGAAAGTTACAAAGAAGAATATGGGACTGACAATGAACAATATAGAAGAAATAGAAGAAGTTGACAAGTGAATATCCAAATTAATGAAATAAACTTTAACAATAAGTCAAGATGCATTAAGTCTTTATGCAAAACTAATAAAAAACAAACCGATTCTTGAATTGATAGATCTAAAATACTATAGTAAAAAAGTTGAAAAAGAAACAAGAAAGTGGATAAAGAAGATATAAAATATAGTACTGTATACAATCAATTCCATAAAAAAATTTGAAATATAAAATATAAAAAGATAATAGAATAGAAAGAAATATAAAAAATATAGAAAAATAATAAAATAAAAAGATCTCTTAATTTTTAAAATCATAAAACTATATTATTAAAAAGAAAAGTTTCATTATTAAAGGAAGAAAAACTAGAAAATCAAAACTTGAAAAACATTCTATCAAGAGAGATTAGGTTTGAAAAAAAGTGATTGGGTTTTGAGTTCTGTTAGAACTTAAAAAAGTGATCTGTAGTAGATACTTGCTAGCAATGATATTAAAAGTTGAAAGAATTTTTATCTGAACTCTTAATAGAGGAACAAATCACTTTCAAAGTTGCACTTAAAATAGTAATTACAAAGATAAGTAAGCTAGTTAGAGTCTTTAGCTTTAGCAATTCATATTATATATAGTTTATAATTATTTAATAAAGCATACATAACTAGCTTGATAAAGGGTATAAAAAAAATTTTTTTTGAATTAAAAAATCTTTATTTGAAGATTATAAAACTTGCTATTTAGGTGTTAATAAATTAGTTTTGTTTGTTATTTTCTTTTTTTCAATATGTAATATTTATTTTAACAGTTTTAAAATAACAAACTATTTGATAATGATTTCTTGATTTAAGGTTTAAATAGAAAGTAAAATATTAGATTTAAGTACCTAGTCTAAACTTATTAAGCTAGTTCAATATAATTTGATTCCATTAAAAATAATAAAAAAGTAGTCTTTAAAACATTCAAAAAAAATATTCACGTGATACAAAGGATACCGTATTCGAAAAAAATGTCATTGGAGCCGCAAAATCGAGAAATCAAGTCCAGCACCAATGCTTCCCAACCAAAGGGTCATGAAATTTCAGCGTATCATGCTCACAAGGACTTGGCGCGCATAAAGTTGGAAAATAAGCGAAATGAGATTGTCAGGTACATATATCGTTACTTGTGTATGCGCGTCCTGCACGTCAAATTAAATTACAGTATCTCGATATAGGTTGAGAAAAACAATAAATGCACGAAACGCTTACATAAACCAAAAGAATCAGATTATCAAAATGAACAAAGTTCGTGAAGAGAACGCGACGTAAGTGGCGATCAAGATAGCCATACAATGTTCAAATTATTCATCCAAATGGTTATCTCCATTTAACGCAGGCGAGTTCACGAGGTTATAACGGTCAGCTCTGCCAACATATTAGTCTCGTTACGTCTTATATATCATTCGTTGCAGCACTCGTTCGGTGATGAGAGTGCTATGGATAAGGCTGGTGGGGAAGGTGAATGCTTACCAAACATTCGTTGAAAGATTAAAAATGGTCATAGCCATTAATTAAATTCTCGCTTTTTATATTCGAATTCAGTAGAGAATTGTTTGCAGATTGCAAAAAACTTTGGTAAACAGTTGGAAGACATGATTTCTTTACCTAGTCAAGGTAAGGAATCGCTATTGATAATGTGAAACGATGGCGATTTATCCGATGCTTATTATGTTATAATTAGTCAACAGCGAAAAAGTCGAAGGTGACGTGGACACCAGGTATTGTTTGTTCCCCTTATATTACTTCTCGAGCTTGTAAAACGGTATCAACGCCTGATGGAATTATAGCGTTGATTCTGAGGAGGAAGCACTAGTAGATGTGGGTATAGAATCCATGGTTGCTCAATACCACCAGACAGAATCCATCATCGGGGAATTATCAACGGATCTTGAAAGGAAAGAAAGGTAGAGGGGCATCGGTGACTGTGTCGTAATTTCACTCAAGGTTATTTATCCTTGTTTTCTCCCATTCTCAGTTACATTGATGAAATAATTCTATGGAGAATCTCCCGCTCGCGGCAAAATTCGCCCAAACAATCATTATTGTTGGAAAATCAAAAATCACAGGATATCGATGATGTCATGGTCGAAATTTAAAAGATTTTATTAAGGAAAAAAAATTTTTTTTTAATCTAATGTGTTTGCTATTACCCAAGTTTATTAATTAACGGAATTCTAAAGTAATCTAACAAGTAAAAAAAAATCATCAAGAAATCATCAAATCTTGTATTTTTGTATTTACTTTTATTTTTTCTAAGAATCATATGTACAATGAATAAGGATGAGATGAAAGTTTCTCATACTGTATCTGATATGTACAACTATGCTTTTTTTTTTTATATATAAATTACCACCAACCCATGTCTTTTCCATCAACAAGTTTGCACTCGATTTTCACCAATCGATAAATAAAATATCACCGAAGTATGATTAAAAGTATTTAGGATTTAAGTGGTAATTAATTGTCGGTGGGAAAGAAAAAACAATGAATTAACGGATACTTTTTTTGTGTGTGGTGAAATTTAGGAGTTGAGAAAAAAGGAAAAGAAAAATTCATTTGTTGTAAGCACAATTAAAACCTGGACACCTATTACTACACCATTAAATTCTTTCTAGAATACTGTGGATTAAATTTCCCTCCGAATTTTACCAAAAGTCAAACTCAATAAAAAATTAGGGTTACATAATGACCAAAATTAATATTAAATTAAGATTATTTATTCTATCATAGCATCATCACAATCTTCTCTTAGTTCGCCTTCTTCCAATTCATCGTCAGCATCTTCCTGAGGTTCACGGACAAGGGATTCCGTGGAATTCGGTGATTTCTGGGATTTGACTGCACCGAGGGGTAGTGAAGTGGACTCGACCTTCACGGACTTTGAATAATTGTTTCCGGATCTGCGAATTCTGGAAGGGGACATGGATCCGACCTTTGGGCACGATTTTGAGACGGGGGAAGTTGCCGGATCAATTTTACTTGGCAAGGCGGACATCGAAGGAGTTGTTGGTTCGATTTTTATGGGTTCAACTAAAGGTGAACGACAAATAAAATTTTGCGCCGCGATTAGACAAAGTGAAGTGTGTACAAAGAACGAGCAGTGAGGTACGGAATTTAAACAAACCTTTCATCTTTTCGTTATCAGAGGTTTCTTCGTCTTCATAGAATTTAAGGTTTTCAAGTGAATGAGGGGGACTAAGTGAGGACGCTTTCTTCTCATCGCGACAGTCATTTTCAACAGTGTTATTATTATTAGCGTTACCTTCCGGGGAGTCGCCCTTTTTGTGATGCGGCGGCCTCGTTTTTGCCTCTTGCAGAAATTCCGCCGGCAACAATTTTTCTTTATATTTTGATAAATTCTTGAAACAGCCGACAAGTGTTGCATTGACCACTCCAGCGGCTTGCGCTACATCTTTGTGTTCACACTTTATCTGCTCGTGGTCATCATTAGTGTTCCATTTCGAACGCATCTCATTCCACGAGGAAATGGACAGCCAAATAGAGGCGGCACCGACCGAGACGGGACATTTTCCGGTGGTGATATTTAGCTCGCTCGCTTGTTTGTAGACATGGATCGCCGCGTCAAGTATATGGGGCGGAAGTTTGAGATTTTGACACCATCGTTTCTAAAAGGAGCACAAGTAAACGTCGTTAAGTTGGTTAGGTTAAAAAAGAAAAAAAAAAAAAAAAGGGAGGGAGGAAGGAGTAGAAAAAAGTATAATAAAGTGCAATATATACCAGATATTCTGCAGAATCAACAGTACCGTTAGATCCCCCGCCCAAGCCATTATTCTCAAACACTTTAAGCATGAGACGGTAGTAGCTTCCAATCTCCTGCTTTCTAATGGAAGCCGCGTTACAAATCTCCACGAATGTACGTGGAAGACCATTCTGACGACATAAGATGAACAGGATGGACGCAAGAATGTGATTGCGTTTACGATGAGGTTGGCGATTCTTCATCTCCTTGGAATGTTTTACGATCTCGAATACCCTCAAGGTTTCCTCCCATATGTGATGAGGAATTTCAATATTCTTTTCCCACTCGATTGCATCCAATTCTAGCTTTTCATCATCTCTCATAGTAGATCTCCGTCTTGGCGGGTAAGGTCTCTGAGGTCGGCCGCTTCCGTTGATATTATTATTTTGCGTGACAGCTGAAGGCGATGAAACGGCCGGTGGCATTTCCAAAGCATCGGAGAGAGCCTCTCTGTCCTTGTTACTGCCATTACTGGATACCGAACCTTTACGCGACACTAAACTAGGGACGGTGCCGCAGTTCGTGTTGATGGGTGATGCAGGGCGCGAATGTTTGTTGTTGGCGGCAGCGGTGGTGGTGGAAGTTACTGCGGGTGTCGGCGAGGGGGTATCCCTGGAGTCTTCATTCTTCCTTTTGACGAGACCTTGATGAGAGGTTGTTGAAGGCGGCAAAGATGGAAGGGGACAAGTCGAGGAGACGAATGCCGCCGGTTTGGTTTCTTCGTCCTTAACCCCCGTGTTTTCAAAGTTCACCACTTCTTCCTCCACTTCCTCTTCAGTTTCCATGTCGTCACTATTCCACTGAGTATCAACGTCTTCGACGACAAGATTGTTCACGGACTGATTGCACTTTGTATATTCTTCTTCATCCGACCCGTCGTCCATCGCCAGATCATTATCAGAATCATTTCCCACGTTACTGTCGTTTACCGCGACGGGCATCGCCCGTTTAACCTGATCGATCTTCTTATTGTCCGTACCACCACCAATCAAACCTCTCTTGTTTGATTTATCCGCGATCAGGGAGGGTTTTACAGGATCCACTGGTTTGACCGCGACTCCTTCCTCTTTTTTAATGGACTCGAGAGGTCTAAATTGATCGTCTTCGTCGAGTGACAGTTCTCTGACTCTTGTCGCTACAAAATGTTCAACTTGATCAACCTTTAGCGATTCTGATGAAGTTTGTTCGACACTCTCCTCTTTCACCTTAACGACATCCGGAGCAACCACTTGGGCGGGCGGATTGTTCGAATTTTTACTGTCCTTAAGAGACTGCAGGATCATGACCGTCTCCATATGAGCCTTCGATTTCCCGTCTGATGCATGACCAGTATAATCATCCTTCGTGACAGACACATCTTCCATCACCACGTCTACACCTTTGTCGACATTCTCTTCCTTTTTGCACCTCTTGGCGTCAGAAAAGTCCCTTGGTGAACTTGGCGCAGAGTGCTCACGCTTACGACTCGGGACCGCCGAGGTAGTAGAAATGGTCGGGAATGATGAGGAGAGAGAGTTGTCGAGGTTACCGGCGAACGCGGGGGACGATTGATGAGATTCTGAAAGTTTAGCATTACTGATAATATTATCATTACAGTTCCTTCCCTCGGTAATTGGGGTGACGTGTTGGACGGGAAGGTTGTCCTTTTGTTTTCTGACACGTTTCGGGGCCGAAGGAATACCACCACCATTGCCGCCGCCACCACCATCACCGCCACCACCGACGGAACTATTCTTTCGCGACCTGGTCACGTGCGAAGACCTTGGTGCAGACAATTGAGAAGCGACGTCGGCGACATTGTTGCCACCGTTCACCGGAACAACGTATTGTACGAACACCGGAGAATCATTCGCCACGGAGGACAGCGGTAAAATTTGCGAAGAAATTGATGACTGCTGACTGGGTAAAGGGCCGGCAGGAACAATGGGTCGCGGTTTCTGAGAGCGACCACGTTTTTTCACTTGTGAAGTATTCTGCTCGACGCTGGGTTTGTCGATGAGAGAGGCGACCAACATGTTGTTATTAGGACTGTGATGAGGTGAGTAGGGAAGATTGTGATTTGAATTTGAGACTGCACTGGTGTTGGCAACCGGTGTGCTGGGGGCAGGGGACGAGGATCTGGTTGAAACTGACGAATTACTTCCCGACTGATGATGCGGTGGAGGTGCCAAGTGAGGAGACGTCTCACGATTTTCACGTGCGAGAAACGGTTGATGGGGAGACACATGCAACTGTGGCGGTGTTATCGGCCTCGAGACGGATCGGGGCGGATTCAAAAGGTCGGTCAGTGGTTGTGGCTGCTGAACCTTTAACTTGTGTGGCTGAGATTGTGATCGGGGTGATTTTGAATTAAGTTGTCGTTGTTCTTGAGCGAGATTATGAAGAGAGTCGATCGAATCTCCACGAGCAAATCGACTGTCAACATTTGATTGAGAATGCATCACGGGGTGATTTGAAATGTTTCTATTGAACAATGGGTCTGACGAAGGATTAGAAATGATCTGTTGTGATGGTAGTGGTGGTTGAGACATGGGGTGATGGGGATGTGGTGGTGGTTGTGGTGAGGAGCCAGGGTATACCTGTGAGTAATAGGATTGACGGTTGTGAGCATTGTAGGGGGGAGGGACTGCAGAAGCAGATTGAAGATCATGCTGACTTCTCTCAGGTATGACAATTTCTTTACTATATACATTAGATTGATAGTTTTGCGGCATCGTCGAGGAAGGCGGCGACGAAGTAGTAGAACGATTTGATGTCATGTGATGTTTTTGCTGATGGTGATGTGTCTGTGAAAGATTTTGTTGTTGCTGTGGTGGGGGTGGTGGTTGCTGGTGGGGAGGAGGGTGGTGGTGGTTGTGATGATGATGCTGATGTTGCTGAGTTACATGATTATGTTGATTATGCTGTTGTATTGGTTGATATGATTGATGATGATGATGATTAAGTGGTGGTAGTTGTTGTGTAATTTGATGAGTGGGTGGAGAAGACTGTTGGGAGACGGCGGTATTATTGGCTTGGTAATGATGGTATTGTCGTTGGTGAGGGAGGGAGGGAGGAGGAACCGGAGGTGGTGGTGGTGGTTGCTGATGTTGTTGGTGATGATGATTTGCAGTATAATGAGATGAAGGATAATTTTGGTGTGAATTGTAGGCATCGGAGGTTTGTTGCAATGAGGAAGGATGCAAATTTGAATGATCCATTCTATCGTTGTTAACTACACGATCATTTTTATCACTCGAGATTGTATTGCTCGAGTTATGGGAAAACGGTTGATAGTTGAAGGTCGAAGGAGTTTCCGTGACCGAAGGCTGCAATGGAGGTAGGTGAGGCCTCGCAGATAAAGTCATCAATGATTCCTGTTGATGGTGATAATGATGATGATGGGTGGGCGGAGTCGCCTGAGGAACAGGTGGAGAAGACTGAATCAATTCTCTTATCGATGGAAGAGTTATTTGATTCGGAATTTGTTGTTGCTGCTGTTGTTGTTGTTGTTGTTGTTGCAAAGGTGGTCTTTGATTGTGCAGAGGATTGTATTGGTGATGAGGGCGATGCGATATGGATTGATCCATGTGTACGGGCTCTTTCACATAATCGGTGTCGAGGTTGAAGTTGAGCTGATATTTTCTTGGTTTTGAAGGATCCTCGTGCACGAATGCATAGCTGCTATTGCCGTTCACACGTTCCTGAGTCATGAAAATAATATTTTTTTTTTATGTACGGGAAATGAGATCAAATTTTTTACAATGTATATGTATATATATACATGTGTTAGCAATATATACACATATGAGTAGAAGAGAGAATAATATTTATTGATTCGGGCGCGGCGGAACGATAGATTGATTGATTGAAATTGGATTGGTGTGTGTTTGTTTTTTTTTTTTTTTTTTTTTTTTTTTGCTTTTAGTCGGTGCAAAGAAATTGGGTTGTATTTATGTGAAAATATATATATGTATACATATATATATATATATGTGTGTGTGTGTGTAGAAATTTCCTTTTTTTTTTTTTTTTTTTTTTTTATAATATATATATATATAAATATATATATATATACATAAAAACCTTGTACCTCGAAACCCAAAATACAAAATAGTCGAGAAAAAGGAGTAGTGATTTTTGGAAAAAAAAAAGAAGGACGGGATGGTGGAAGGGTATTTATAGATGAATTGAAAATCATGGAGCATTCTTTTGTGACACCAACAGACAGCTTAATTTGGACAGGGGCGTATGTAAAATGTGTAAATAAAAAAAAATAAAAATAAAAATAAAAAAAAAAAAAAAAATCAATTAAAGTTTTACTGTAAGAAAAATAGAAAAATTATATGGTCATAGTATTAGCGAACAGCGGTTGGTAATACGTAGTCATAGTGTAATAATATAGAGGATGCATAAATAAAGTATATAAATGAAATTCAAACAATTACGGAAAGCAAAGTATTCGCAAAAAGAAAAAGGTTACAGCCAAATTGTTACATAAAAAAATGTTAATATATACGATAAACACGATTAACGTATTGCTTGCCAATTATGGAATCATGGGTACAAGTATGCACCTGATGTTGCATGAACCCCTAACCAATTTTTATAATACGATTATTTGATGTGATTCGATTGGACAGAGAAAACCATAAAAAGTTAATAAATATTTTATCTGCAAGAATATGCGACTAAAACTTGAATAAGTACTTGATCATGGATGATTATAAAGCATTCCACCTGGTCAGATTTGGAATGAACGGTTTCACAGGACGATGTGAGTCGACCAGGTGATGGTGATGAGTATACGCGGCGTGATTGATGAAAAATTCGAATATAAAAGGAAGTTCAAGGACCTTTTTTTTTTATTATATGTTGTACCCGTTCAATGATTACTTATGGTACATGCGATACTTATACGATATCGTTAATTTCTTTTCTTCCCTCTTTTTTCTCATTACGTGTGCGCCGTTTCAATAAGGTTAGAAGGAAAAGAATACAATTATAAGGTTTTCGATATTGTGTACATTTACGGAAATTCCAACAATGATACCTTCAATCGAGTGTGTCTAATGTCGATGTGTGCGCACGGTGAATCTTGATGTCCTTTCTCTCCGAACGAATGAAGTTATTCTTACACTGTTCGCGCTTACGACACGTGCATAATCTCTCCTTCCTCTCCCGACAGGCATCACCCGGCGAATGGGGGACAAGGAAAAAATGGTCACATCATAAGTTAGACGAGTAGCAAGTAATCTTATATACAGTATATGGCAGAATAATAATAATAATGAAGGAAGAGAGTTATGCCGAAATGCCTATGTGCGTGCGTACGTACGAAAATTTAACGTGGTATCTGCGGTGTACGGTGGTGTACTGTAAATCAATATCAATATTGCTTGGCAGTGGTCGCACTTGGGAACATAATTTTGATGTAATGTTCATCATGTTACACGCACCATACTCGATCTTCTTTTATTATCGTGTCTAATTGATTTGTATTTATTAGTGTTTTTTATGCATGCACGACCAACAGTTTATCACGATAACCGGTTTTAAATTCTAAATGATAATGTCCGAAAATCAAACGTTTTATCGTCAAATTCTCTTTATTTTCCTTCATATTATCAAATTACTCGCTGAAATGACAAGACAATGCGGATGTACAAACTGCATTAGTTTAATGACTGACCGACTTACAAAATTGCTGAGCAACCGAAAACACAATACATACGTGCGTGTGTCCGTGTGCTTTGATAGATGTCATTTCAACAATTAAAACTCGAGTGTCATCCAATTCATTTATTTAATTCATCACCTACAAACACATTCCATTAACCAAAAAAAAAAAAATTTAAAAAAAAACGATGCACTCAATCATGTCGTGGTCATGGTTAAATCGATTAAGATCATTCTTGACTCACCCGCGCCAAAAAATATATACTGTATATACTACTTACTATTTGTGCATCACTTATCTTTTTCTACATCGAGGAAAACATAATACGCATTGGCGCAGTAAATACCGGTATTTATCATTCCGTTTTAGCCCTCCCTCCCCCCACACACCGGTGTGTCACAACTCCCACACAAACTACACTGAGCCTCCAGCATCAAGAATGTCAAAGTTAGAACCATTTCAGAAAGGTGATTTTATCCTTGCAAGACACTTTGGTCACACCTTAGGAACTTTGACATTTTATTCTTTATTCTAGTGCTCAAATCCTCCAAGCACATAGTGGCGCTCTGCGGAGCTGGTCTGAGTGCTGAGTCCGGAGTGCCGGTACTGCAAAAGAGAATTACGAACCCGGACAAAAAGTTTTCGAATATGCAAACTAAACGTTCTCAGTTTAACAGACATTTAGGGGGGAAGGTGGACTCTGGAGAAACTTTAATGCGATCGAGCTTGCTACACCTGAGGTACGTGTACTCTTCCGAAGAACAACCATTTCAGAAAACTTCGGTACCCACCCACCTCTCTCTAAATTTCAACAGGCCTTCAAACAAAATCCGTCGCGTGTGTGGGAATTTTACCATTACCGGTAATATTACCTTCGGGCAACATTAAACACTCTTTAAGGTGTGACATGTAATGCATTTTTCAAGGTTAATTCATTTGTCTTCCCGTATTAGCCGTGAATTGGTGCTTACGAAAAAACCAAATAAGGCTCACAAAGCTCTGGTCGACTTTGAGAATGCAATCTCGTCGCAGTCTCCACAGGCTCAAACTTTTTTTGTCCTGACGCAAAATGTCGACGGCCTGTCGTCAAACATAAAAAATCTGGTCGAAATACACGGTTCACTCTTCAGAACCCGGTGCACGAAATGTGGAGATATCCGCCATAATCGTGATTCCCCGATCGCTCCAGCTTTGAAAGGAACGGAGAATAAAAATTTTGACACCGACATTCCAATAGAACAATTACCAACCTGCTCAAAGTGTCAAGGGTTATTGAGGCCGGACGTCGTATGGTTTCACGAACACCTCAGCCAAGATATCGCAAGAACCATTGAATTCGAACTAAATAGATGCGATTTGTTGTTGGTAATTGGTACCAGCGGAATTGTTTATCCGGCCGCTGGATACCTCTCGTGGGTTTCGTCTCGTGGGGGTAAGGTGGCGAATTTCAATGTCGAAGAAATGGAAATGCACTCTGATGTGATAGATTTCGAATTGTGAGTATTTTCATTATTTATTAATACCATTTGTACTTGGATTCCATTCACTTTTCTGTAAATTCATTTTTGGTAATAGCATCGGTCCTTGCGGTGAAACCCTGCCAAGAGCCCTTGGTGTAGAGACGACCGAATAGCGATTTTCGTTTAAACGTGAGTTTCGGACTGAACCAACGAACGTGTACATCACTAATCACTACCTATCCTCTTAATAACTTATTCCTCCCTTTGCAACGTAGGCAAGATTTTCTTGAATCTCCCTCTAGATGACCTCCACCATTTTTTATTCCCACATTATTTATTTAATAATAAAGTATGAAATAAGTGATACGTGATCCTCGGGTCATCTTTCTGGTATCACATAAATCATCAAGCCGGTTATTTCAAAGAAAGTAATGATATTTTGCAAATATATGCAATGCCAATACGGTACAATTTGTTTACTTTGGTGCAAATGAAATTATAAAAAAAAAAAAAAAACTGTATTGCGAATGTCCTCTTCAATAACTAGTAATCATTTCCCGCCCATATCCGTGTAAACCAATTTCTCTCCCGCATATTCCCACTCTACATTAAATATATTCACATAAATGTCCAATGGTTTTGTCACATGGTTCCTGCGATACGACTAGCCAATTTTCTATATCCATCGGCCGCAATCTTCAGTCGGCGATAAAATAATACAGCGCACGACAGTGAAGCGACAAACATGTTTACAAACTAGTAAAACGTGAAGATGTGGAAATGATTATTATTGCATTCGAGAATAAAAAATATCCTCCAATGAAATGTACAAACCTGAAATTCAAAATACTTGGCTCTCTCCAACCTCTTGACACGCTTACAAGATTGAAATTTGGGTAATATTCCTTTTCCATTCGTGTTATTGTTATTAGGATCATTCGGTATCCATTGGCACTCGATAGGCTCTTTGTTTCCATACTCTTCACAACTTTTCTCTGAGCGCTAAGCGCCAATGTTGTTTTTTTTAAAAAAAAAAAAAAAAAAAAATTTCAATGAAGACTTCATTAATTGGTGTGATGGATCGATCAATTCAGAATTCAGTTACCATTTCAGCTATGTCACAAGGCTCGCACTCTCCAATCGCATGACATATGCACTCCCCAGTAGATTGACATGAGTAAGGTGATATTTCAAAGTTGTTAGGGTTATGATGCTGGTTTCCTGGAGAATTTGCAGGGTCATCTGCCGAGGGTGTTGGTTTCTGTATACTCGACGAAGGTGAACCGCTTTCAATCGATTCAAGATCAGATGTGATTACTGCAGTAAAGGTATTAGAGATCAAAAGACTTGAGGGAGGAAAAAAATTTTTTCTTTTTTAGTGATGATCCAAGTTATCCAAAATCCAAAGGAGGCGATTTATAATTTTCGATTTACCATAAATAAAACAAAGTTATTGAAAGTAAGAAGTCTTTTCTCATGATAGACACGTTTCGTCTTCGTCTTGTTTGTAAAAATCTGAGTGTGAGTCTAAGCAAGTAATAATCCTCGAATATTGCTTTTCCATCTGGCACGTGACAATTTTTTAAAGTACGTAAAGCGCATGCACAAAAAAAAAGATAAGGGCACTTTTGTGCTTCGAAACCCCGGTTTCAAAATCACGTGTGTATAAGCAGGTTTCAGGTTAGCCCATTAGCCCTTAGCGTTAGATTCAGGTAATATGGCAAATCACCCGATCTTTACTTCTTTTTTTATGCAATCAATAATCTCGTATTTAAACAACAACTCACATGAATGGCTTCTCCTAAATAGTTAGCTTTATACACCATAATAAATTGATTTTCAATCTAGTGTATATAATAGAACATAACCGTACTAGTTTTGAAATAATTAGTGATTATAAAATTAGCATTATCAACCTGCCATTATTGTAATAAATTTTATAAGGAATTAAGCATTCTCTCGAATGTTTGAGTCTTAACATATCAATTTACTAAAGCCGAGAGTTTAATCCCGGACTTGTCAGAATACGAATGGTCAATTTTTTATAACCAGATGAATATATAAAATAAGTTGTTTTCGTTTCTAAAAGTGGAATCAGTCAAATGAACTGAAAACGACGCTAATTACCGACGCCTATCCCTATAGTCGCGACCTCGATCACGATCACGGCTTCGATCATTGTCTCTATATCTATCATTTTCATGTTTACTGAATCTGTGGCGATCCCTACCCCTATCACCATTATCTCTGTCACGAGAACCGCGGGGTTTTTCCGTGTACCTGTCCTTGTCTTTTTTAGAATCCTTCAGAAACACCTCACTTACTTTACTGTTCTGTGCCCTTTTCTCTTTCTCTTGCTCAATCGCTTGTTTCTTCCGCTCTAAAGGATCTATGACTACATAATCATCTGGATCATCTCTTTTTTGCATCAAGTTCTTACCCTTGAAGTCTTTTTCGAAAACGAGACGATGTGACAACCACCCTTCATCCGTATCATCTTTCTCCGGCTGCCCGAACGTGTCTCGACACGAAAGACAATTGGGAACCGAATGAAGTATGCACGGTTCAGCATCCTCATTTGTTGGTATCGGTGCATCTTCTGTGGGCTCCGCCACCATGAGTTTTGATTGAAATGACTTGAGTTTCTCCAATGTCTAAATAATTGAATGCATCTCTTAGATTACCTCGGAGAATTACGAAAGAATGAAAATGTTGATTTCGTTTTTTTTTTTTTTTTTACCTCCGCCTCATTTCCCTTTTTCCTCTTGGCCGCAAGAGCCCTTCCGGAAGATAAATATTTTTTCCTTTGAGTTTCCACAAACGACTCCTTCACCTTCTTTTTCGCCGGCCCATCTTCAACCTCGGAATCTTTCGAATGATCGAGTTTTTTTATGTCTTGCTTGACTTGCTCAATTTCTTTCCGAATAGCATCCCTATAATACAAAATTCCTTAGATACAGTAAAATTTGAGGCAGATCTGTGTATCCCACGATAAACCCAAACATATTCCATATCTTGACTAACGTCTTGGATAATTTTTTATCTTGATCATTGATCTCCTGTGCTTTCCGTTTTGCCGACTCTTGGAGGTGTCGCACATTTTCTTTCATCTTAAGATCGAATGAAACAGCATCATCCTCCCCGTTACCCTTCGCACCGTGTTCGATTATTTCTTGCGACCGATCTGACTAAATTTCAAATAAAAAAGAATTCACATGAGGATCTTGCAATGTCAATTCCAATGTTAATGTATCATATTAGAATACCAACATTTTTGAGCTCAATTGTTGTGGATGAAATCTCAAACTCTTTCA